AGAAGGTCAAATTCAAGCAGAAAATATGTCATTTTATTAAACACAAGGAACTGCATTATTTTTCAATCCAGTATTCCACACTTAGGACAGCTTTCATGAGTGAATTCAGATTTATGTTGCTGAGAAACATGTGGGCCATGTCCTGTTCCCCTGGAAAGCTCTTCAGACTAATCCTATCAGAGATATAGTAAGAATGTGACGTCCAATTGTGTCAGTGGTGAACCCAAGCCAGAACAAAGCAGCCGTACTCTGTGTCCTATTTTTTTTGCCAACTTTCCAGTCTCTATGAAGTAAACATGAACAATGTTCAGCATAGCCTGCATTACATCTACTTAGAAATCAGAGAGAAAATCTTTATAGCAGCTTTGTTCCAGCATACTAAATTTTTTTCTGGTCACAGTCTGTGAGTCTTTCTTCTACAGTTTACACAAAACTCTCCGAAACATAAATACTAGAAAATATGTTGCCTGGTAGAAATACAGTGAATATAGGTTAAGGTATAAGCCATCTTCTTAGTGTGAATCTCTTAACATTACCTTCTCCCAATAATGTACTCTTAGGCAGTAAGAGAACTGAATATAAAATGTTCTCTACTTTATTCTCTGAGTGATACATTGTTATTATCAAGGGAAGTTTGAATATTCAGTATTAGATTATATAGACAATATCTTAAGTATTCCCAATTTAAGTGAATCCATGGCTTAATATTAGATGCACTGACTGATTAAATTATATAAATAAAATTTGAGTGAAGTTGATAGATGAACTCATCTATCACCCTCACAGGAGCTCCAAAATCCATTCACAGCGGTTCACATCTATTTCTGTTCCAGGGACAAAGATGATAGAATAGGAGAACTATGTATTTTCTCTGTCCCTGGATACTATCATCACTGAAAGTTAATAATCACAGCATTATTCTTTTTGTCTGTAATTATTTTGGGATGGTCTCCATTTCAACAGAAAAGCAGTATCTCAGAAGTATCAAAGGAGGAATGAAATCAATAAAATTCACATGGAGCCACTGGTTTTAATTTGTGCACAATGTTGTTTAATTTTGTAATGCCAAGACCTCAAAAGTAAAGAAGAAAATATCTTTATGGGAAAGAAGACATAGTTATCTCAAAAAATTGGGGGAAACTAACAAATTTACAACACAGCATATTTTGTAAATAAGCAAAGAAAGAAGCAGGCACAGAGAGGCTCATAGAGTCTGTACTGCAGCTAGAGAGCTGTATAGTAATAAAAAAATTTAAACCAAATCACTCCAAATACACTTAAGAATTACATATATAATTGAAATACATTTGAAAAGTTCGTTTTGAATTTAGAATAAAAACAAAATCAGCATTCTTGATGAACTTCCCTATCTATCTATCTATCTATCTATCTATCTATCTATCTATCTATCTATCTATCTATCTATCTATCTATCTATCTATCTATCTATCCACTCGTCTATCTATCTATCTATCTATCTATCTATCTATCTATCTATCTATCTATCTATCTATCTATCTATCTATCGCCACATATTTGGGCTTGAGCTCAAGGTCTCATGCTCCATTGGCCTGCTTGCTCACCACTTGTGCTCTATCATTTGAGCCACACTTCTAACTTGGCATTTTAGTGATTATTTTGGAGATGGAGTTTCTTGGACTTTTCTACCTGGGCTTGCCTTGAAACACAATCACCCCTCCAAATCTCACCTCATGAGTATCTAGGACTACAGGTGTGTACCACTGTTGTCTATATATTTAGTTTTCTAAAATAAGAGGCCATAAAATGAGAGATCATCAGACAGAAACACTTCATTAATTAAAAGTAATACTAGGGGCTGGGAAGGTGGCTCAGTGGTAGAGTGCTTGCATTGCATGCATGAGGGCCTGGGTTTGAATCCTCAGCACCACATACGCAGAAAAAGCTGGAAGTGGCGCTGTGGCTCAAGTGCTAGAGCGCTAGCCTTGAGCTGAAGAGTTGAGGGAGAGTGCCCAGGCCTAGAGTTCAGGCACCACAACTGGCCAAAAAAACAAATAAAAAGTAATACAATTTGTCATGATAACAAGCTACCCTATCCCTGTTTCCTTAATAAGATCCTCTATTATGTTAAATATCACAACAAAACCAGGATCTTCTGGTTTTGTAAGTAAATGTTTGGGTTTTGTAGTTGAGCTGGGATTAATATTTATCACTGTTAGTACTTTTATTAGCAAGGTTGGAAAAATAGAGCTCATTTATTGCAATGGTTTTCAAGCTTTTCTTCTTCTTTGCCCTAGGGAATAATTATTTAAAGATATCCAGGGATGTGATGTATCTGGTAACTAGTAAGTGCTTGTCTAGGATGCATGAAGCTCTCTGATTGATCCTCATCACCCAAGCATAAACTAGCAATAAAAATTGAAGAGAGATAACACACATTAGACATCAGCACAATCAGTTTACTGCAGCACTATTCACCATAGTCAGGGTATGGAATTCAGTCCAGATGTCCCACAATAATAGATGGATCAAGAAACTGTGGTATACGTACACAATGGATTTTTTCTGATCCATTAGAAAAAATGATGTTATACCATTTGTAGGAAAATGGAAAGACCTGGGAAAAGTAATATTAAGTGAAGTAAATCAGGCCCAGAAAGAACAAGGATGCATATTTTCCCTTATATGTGGAAGCTAGATTTAGCTTATAAACTTATATGTAAATATATTGGATGGTATGTAAGTATATACAAATCTATTAACTGAAATATGATAGATTCAAGGGACAGCTCAAATAGTGAAATTCCTTACAAAGGCAAAATCGAAGTTCAACAAAATAAATACCAGGAAGTGGGTATTTGAAAGGGGTTGGGTGGGGTCAAGGGAAAAGGAATAAAGAGGAGAAGAGGGGAGAATGCACCAAGGATTCAAGGTATATCCTACAAAACTAAGAGAAGGGAAAGGATGAGATGAGTGAGACACATTTCTTTCTTGGGTTTGTACATCTCACTGTCCGATGACAAACACCTTTGCCACACTTGACTGAGCACTGAGATGAAAGGATCTGGATTCAGTGTAGTGACATTAATCAAGATATACTGTATTCATAAACTGCTTTGTTAAATGGCAACTCCTTTGTACAACTACCTAAAGGTAATAATAAAATGTAAAAAAAAAATTGGTAGAGTGGTAGCCGTGAGCTGAAGAGCTGAGGGACAGTGCCCAGGCCCAGAGTTCAAATCCCATGACAGACAAAAAAAAAAAAAGGAAAGATAGTGTTCAAACTTTACTATCAGAAATGAAATAAGGAAGAAATGAGTTACTACAAGGGAAAAGGATCAGGAGGCAACTTTGCCTCCCAGCTTTATCTAGTGCTTTTTAAAATAATTTCCTCATCCTACTTTACATGTAAGAGATGAAAGGAGAATTAATACACATATAATTTAAAGACGTTCTTGTCTATTTCCCTTATCTTTTGATAGGGGATAAATATGTAAACATTCAATGGATTAACTTATTCACTTATATAACACACTCATATAAACTGTCCTCCATCTCTTGAATTTCAAGCCAATGTCTTTCCCCATCATCCTAATTCACTGCTTTCTTTCAAATAAGGAAAACCATAAATCATGAACAAAACAGAAGTTAATTGTGGTTAGTTTGAAATTCTCTGCAGCCTGAAAGTTGCTTACTCTTAAAGATAAACTTTCTTAAGTGGTCCGCTAGATAAAAGACTGCATGGTTGGAGTTAAATGTCTTACTGTAGTTAGGGGTAGTCTTAGACTGTGTACCAGGGTGTCCTGCAGAGCCCCAGTGAGAAATGGCTCATTACAGCAGACTCCATGAATAGGAGGTTACATTTGAAGAAGTACCAGCTCCTCAACACACAGGAGCAGCTGCATCTTCTTTACCCATTTATAAATTAAGAGAAGCTAGAGGATTCTTGTCTTCCAAGACAAGAATCTGTGATTCCATGATAATATATCACAACTGAATATATAGAATTATTAACTGATACTTACATTTCTGAAATCTAGAAGGTTAGAGCTAGTCTATTTTACCAAGATACAACTAGAAGTTTTTCTTAAAATAAAAGATTTTTAAAATACGTTATAGAGTAGATATGTTAATTTTTTCCACAGTCCAATTACATATGAGGTTCTACTTATGTAAATCTTAAGGAAACATTATCAGTATTGTGAAATACAACTTCTTATTCACTTATAACTGAACTGCATCCACTAAATTCGATTAAAGGACTTCAAGGATTCTGATTTTTCCAAAAATTGGAGGAAAACTATTGTCTTTTACCTATCAACATGTGAGTTCCCTTTGCTTGATTCTCTTGTTAACTTCTTTACTTAAATTTTTAATTTACTTAACTGATAACTTTTGTTCAGAAATATTTTGAGAAGTAAGACCCAGTGATCTGTTGCTACAATTCCAGCTATTCAAGAACTGCTATCAGGAGCCCGACAGTTCCAAGACCAGCTTGGGATACTCCTTTACAAGTCCCCATCTCAGGAGGAAAAAAGTTGGGTGTTATGACATATACTTGTTTTCCTAGGTAATTGAGAGGCACAAATAGGAAGATCAGAGCCCAGAAGCCTGGGCAGAAATGAGCCTATATAAAACAAAACCAGCACAAAAAGGACTGGAGGTATGACCAAGTGTTAGAGTACCAACCTAACAAGCATGAGGTCCTGAGTTCAACCCTATGACTAACAACAAAACAACAACAACCTGACAACATAATAAGAAAATTAGCAATAAAACAATGGTAATAGCTATTATCAAATATGGTGGTAAATACAAGTTTTATTTTACTTAATCTTAATGCCATTCTAGAGAGTTCATGATCACAGGAAAATAAATTTAAGCCTAGATATAGTATATTCCCTGCTCCATGATCTTTGTCTCTGCTCCCTGTCCCTCTTAAACTTCTTAGTATATGTATAGCACCTAGTAAGGATGACATTATTAAAACTGATGAATGGAAATGGATGAGAAATTCTCACCTTAGACCAGTCACCCATCTGCCACACATAGCATTTTGAATAATCCTCACAATCTTCAGCCTCCCTCGGTCTGGTGGAGAGGACACATTTCTTTCTTGGGTTTGTACATCTCACTGTCCGATGACGAACACCTTTGCCACACTTGACTGAGCACTGAGATGAAAGGATCTGGATTCAGTTGGTGATTGAGATATGTACTATAAACTACATCATGTACTGCTTTTAAATTATTTCTCATAATCCCAGCACCAACATAAAAACCAGAGAACAGAAGTTAAAAGACAAGTTTAAAGGCAAAACCAGCTAAGCAGCTGTATGTGAGGCCATACGGTGCTTAAGTCACAGTTTTGTAGGTAAGTGGTTTTGGGCATATTAGGCCATTATTATACAGAGTGGTATATAACATTGGGATGATATGAGAAAGACAAATAATATATACTGATTAATGCCTTGTGGAAAAATAAATTATATGCCACTACTTATACAAGAAAATATTACAATTTCTCTATGTAATGAAAAGTATTCATTTTATTTGTGCTAATATTTGCTCTTTGCTTTAGATTTAGTAAATGATGGTGAAAATGTTAACATTTCAAAGAATTCCTTACAAATATCCTGAAAGTAAAACAGAGGAAATCAAGATTGAACTCATCAAATTCAATGTAAAAATCTATTTTTCCAAAGTTCACATAAAACATGAAAATGAAGTTATGAATCAACCTAGAAAAGTAACAGAAAAAATCTGGTGCTTCTAATGTGGTTTTTGAAACAAGGTTGAATAAAAGAATATTTTAGAGACTGCCAGGTTCTGGTGGCTCACAAATGCAATACATACTAGTTGCTCATGAGGCTGAGATCTGAAGATCACGGTTTGAAGTCAAACTGGGCAGGAAAGTCTGTGACCCTTTTATCTCCAATTAACAACTAAAAAGCTGAAAGTAGAGCTGTGACTCAAGTGGTAAAGTACCAGCCTTGGGTAAATATGCTAGAAGTCAGTGTCCAGGTCCTGAGTTCAAAACCAATGCCAGCACGTACATACACACACACACATACACACACACACACACACACTATTTAGTAACTAAACTGTCTAATTCATATTACCTTTATTTTTTAAGATAGTAGCTAGTTATTTCACAGATTTTTTATTTTTATTTATTTATTTTTTTGTTGGTCGTGGGGCTTGAACTCTGGGCCTGAGTGCTGACCCTCAGCTCTTCAGCTCAAGGCTAGCGTTCTACCAGATTTTTTTTTTTTTGGTCGGTCATGGGGCTTGAACTCTGGTCCTGGACACTGTCCCTGAGCTCTTCTTCAGCTCAAAGGGAGTGTTCTACCATTTGAGCCACAGCACCACTTCAGGTTTTCTGGTGGTTAGTTGGAGATGAGTCCCATGGACTTATCTTCCCGGGCTGGCTTTGAACTGATATCCTCAGATCTCAGCCTCCTGAGTAGCTAAGATTATAGGCATGAGCCACCAGTGCCCAGCATCACAAATCATTTACTATCTAATGTTTGAAATTAAGCATGTGAATGATTTTGCTCTTTGGGGCATTCATGTGTCTTCCCCCATGTGAATGTGAACATACTAGCATGAATGTATTTGCATAGACTCAAGCATCCATTATCTCACATCAAATGCTTTCACAAAAATCAGTGATGATATACAGTGAGTTGCACATAAATGAACAAGTGGTCCATTCTGTCATAAGTGCAGAAAATATATGGATTGGTATGAACACCATCTCCACATTGCACACTACAAGTTCATTGTGGTACACTGAGTTCTACTTAAGTAAGATTTGTTTAATTTCTTTAAAATATCTTCACCAATATTTATATAATGGTGAAAATGTAGAGTTCTTTGTATTTGTTATTATTCATGAACAAAATAGCAAATATAAAGTAAAAATTTAACTTCCTTTGTTTCTTCTTAATGTGTGCTTCCTCCAAAGGGTAATCAGAGCACGCACATAAAAAAAGGAGGATTCCGAATTGAATATAGCAGTGCCTTTAGTTGTTATCATTGTTGGGTCTGCCCAGGAAAAGGGTGGCTTTCTCTGTGTGAGTCTGCATTTAGACTCCTCCCCTACTGTTCTCCACATAGGACTGCACATGTCCACTGCCAGAAGTCTCCCCCCAGTACCTGGATTACCCAGGTGACCAGCACCCCTGGGGGCTGCTCCCTCCCTTTTGTCTAAGGACACATCCTGGACCTCCACAGTGTGCAGGCCAGCAGTTTGAATAATACATTCTTTTCGCCTTGGGCTATATGGTAGTTAACCTTACAATCACATTTATAGAGTAGAGTGTAAATATATTTTTGTTTTCAAAATTACTTAAATAAAATTAGTAATATCAAACGTCGACTATGCTGCTGAGATTCTAGATCTGATAGATAATGCTGTGATCTAGGTAAGAGGAGAGACGGTAAAGGGAAGTGGGTGTGTATCGCACCTCAGACCAGACTCCTGCCTCCCACACAGTCATGCAGTCCTGGCCCTCACAGCGCTGGGCGGAGGCTGGCTTTGGTCCCACACAGTCCCTCTCCTGGGCTCTAATGAGAGTTCCATTGCTTAGTTGTTGGGTACAGGCCACTTGCCTGTTCTGCATCCCTTTACCACAAGTTCGTGAACATGTGGTCCATTCTGTCATCATCCATCTAAAAGTAAAGAATGAGTCAGAGTCATTGAAAACAACTTGAGAGATACATACCTACCATCTATCTGGTGTGTCTATAGTTGGAAAGAAAAGAGGCACACAATACTTTGTACCATCTATTACATTTAATTTTCTCCAAACTACACTTTCTCTTGTCTTTTATGTTTAGTATTCCTTATGTTAGGGTCTTGTTCTTAGTACAATAAGAATATATCTGATTCTCCCCTTGTCATTTTGCCTGCTTATACTGCTCTTCATATTACCATATTGAGGTATCTTTAAGTATAAAATTGCTAATGTCTAGAAGTTATTCCCAATCTTTGAATTTTGAATGTTAACAATAACCCCATTTATTAGGTACAACTATCTTAACCAATTATAGAAAAGGAAACAGCATATAGGTTTAGTAATTTACCGAAGAGTGGAGACATATTCTTCCAGACAGACATATACATGCCTCAGAGCCAAACCTCTGTCTAGCACTCATGTGCTTTCCTTTTCCTTCACAAAGCCTTGTTGTCCTGCTGTCCTTATTAGTCTTGTGATATGAGATAATTAAATGTTCATGCAATGAGACAGCTGCAGTAAGTGACTGGGGCACTGTGACGTAGACTACCTTGTGATGGTTGTCTAAATACAAGTCCTGCGACAAGGGATATTGATTCACATTCAAAGCAGAATGAAGTAAGTGAAGCAAGACTTCTCACGCTCACATGGCAGGTGATTTTAACTTATGAATTGCTTATTTCTGGAATTTTCCACTAAACTGCAGTTGACTGTAGGTAAAGGAATCATATAAAATAAATACATATCTAAAAGAGACTACTATAGTATATGATATATATATATATATATGTTGTAGTATATTTTGAAGTGATTTATAAATATATATATATATATATATATGTATATTTCTCTAGCTTCATTTTCTACTTGCTCACATAGTAAACCATATGCAGAACATGCCAAGCCCTTTGTTTATGCAAAGTCCTCTGCCAGAATCTTTGACTACTCTCTCCAAGTCTCTTCCTCCCAGAATAGCTTATCCTTCAAATCCACAGGATTGTTCTTACCACTGCCCTTCAATACCTGGCCCCTAGAGGGACACAGCTTATTAGGTCCCTCCTAGGTAAGTAGAAAGGCTCAGAGCCTGCCTAAAGAATAGGTCTTTCTTCCTTTTTTACTATAGAAATAAATTCCTCATAGACACAGGCCCACCTTCCTTCTGCTTTTCATACCTATACACATATCAGCTGTTCAGTAAATCTTCCTTCCTTCCTTCCTTCTTTTTTTCTTCTTTCTTTCTTTCTTTCTTTCTTTCTTTCTTTCTTTCTTTCTTTCTTTCTTTCTTTCTTTCTTTCTTTCTTTCTTTCTTTCTTTCTTTCTGTACTTGAGTTTGAATTCAGAGCTTGGGTGCAATCTATTAGTTTTTCACTCAAGGCTCTACCACTTGAGCCACAGCTTCACTTCCAGCTTTTTGCTGGTTATTTGGAGATACATGTCTCAAGGATGTTCCTGCCCGGGCTGGCTTTGAACCATGATCCTTAGATATCAGCCTCCAGAGTAGCAAGGGTTATAAGCATTAGCCATTGGCACCTGGCACTAAATGTTTTTTAAAATGAGGTTTAGATTTCTCTATCTTAAAAAATAGCTTCCGTTTTTTTAGGTTTACCAAACTAATGAATCACATTTTGATTCACATTACAGCCTAGTATCACTTTTAATTCTACGTGATCATGTATTTCTGTTTCAGAAAGAAGGAAAATATCAAAATAGTCATGGTATAGTATTAATTTTTTAAGTTCTTACTCACCAGCTTCTTAAGGGGGGATTGTGGCTTACACTTTTACTTTGGATTCCGCCAGTAGATTTTCCTTCAAGTAAATATTCATCTTCCAGATTTACTTTACATTTTGCTTTTCATTTTCATAATGTTTTTATTATCTTTACATAGTTGTGCAAAGGAGTTACCATTCAACAACCCAGTTTACAAGTGCAATGCATCTTGATCTATGCTATCCCTTTCATCATTCTTTTCCATTGCTCTGAACCCAATCCATTTCTTCAATTTTCTGTTGCATAGGATATGTATTAAATACTATGACTGTATTACATATCTATATAGAATACTCAGAAAATAGTCGCAACTTAAATGTATGGATCTTCCCTTCTAGTTTTAGAACCTGGGAGACACAATTGCAGTTTCCATGTAAATTACAGAATCTCACAAGTTTAAATAAATCAATTGTAAGTTTGTGTGTGTGTGTGTGTATGTGTGTGTGTGTGTGTGTCGGTTGTGGGGCTTGAACTCTGGGCCTGGGTGCTGTCCCTCAGCTCTTCAGCTCAAGGCCAGCACTCTACCACTGAGCCACAATGCCACTTCAGGTTTTCCGGTGGTTTATTGGAGATAAGAGTTTCATGGAAAAAAAAAAGAAAAGAAAGAAAGAACAAAGAAAAAGAGTTTCATGGACTTTCCTGCCCGGGCTGGCTTTGAACCATGATCCTCAGTCAGATCTCAGCTTCCTGAGTAACTAGGATTACAGGCATAAGCCACCAATTGTAAGATTCTTTTTTTTTTTTTCTTGTTGGTCATAGGGCTTGAACTCTGGGTGTGAGCGCTGTCTCTATGCTCTTCAGCTCAAGGTGAGCGCTCTACTGCTTGAGCCACAGAACCACTTCTGGTTTTTGAGTGGTTTATTGGAGATAGGAGTCTCACTGACTTTCCTGCCCGGGCTGGCTTTGAACTGTGATCCTCAGATCTCAGCCTCCTGAGTAGCTAGGATTATAGGCTTGAGCCACCGGGTGCCCAGCTTGTAAGATTCTTACAATGATAAAAGTAACTTTATCTATTACTTAAAGAAGGTTTAAAATGAGGAAGTAAAATATAAACTAGATTCTTAGGAAGGAAAAACCTTTGAGTATTTTAGAATTCATTTATATTGAAATAAACAGATCTTTGCGTCTATTTTATTGAGTCATTTTATTGAATCATTACCAAGGCATTTTCCTTCCAGCTTGCTGAGAATGGCCTCTGATGTGTACTCTTCCCCTACAGAGCCCAGGTTGAAGAGTGACCAATCATTATTGCAGTCCTTGAATCCTTTGGATATATTAGATAAACTTACTGTTTCTTCCACTTGGGAAAACTACATAGTATGTAAAATATATGGTACTTTGAAATATTTTAATGAATATTTCAGAAGACAATTTATAATTTAAATTATTAAAATGGATAGGAAAGTTGAAAGAAACTTCTTAGTAATTGAGAAAACAACAAAGATCCAGAGTCTTTAGCTGATAGGATAAAGTCCAAAAGTTCTACCTATATTTTTGTCTGCACCAAATACAAAAAAAAAAAAAAAAAATCATTCCATCCCACTGCCTAGGCCACCTACCTGTGGGTAACAATAACTGCCACGTTAGTCTGCTTGATTACTACACTGCATCACAGAGGGTCTTCATTAGTTCATCTACTCATGGAGACAGGTTGTAAAGTACACCCCCAGGAAGGTGCAGTGTACACACATTATTTTAAGTGTTTAGTCAGGCGTCAGTGGCACACACCTGCAATCCTAGCTACTAAGGAGGATGAAATTGGAGGACTGCAATTTGAAGCCAGCCGTGGCAGAAAAGCTCATGAGACTTTGATCTTCAATTAACTAGCAAGAAGATGGAGATAGAGATTTGACACAAGTGACAAAGCACCACTCTTAAGTGAAGAAGCTAAAGGTCAGCACCCAGGCCATGAGTTCAAGTTCCAGTACCAGCACATACACAAAAGTATATTAATTCTTTTCAGTATATTCTATATACCTATTTTAAATAATCCATTATTTTGCCCATCCTTTTTTAAATCATTCTGCTCTCTTATTTTTTATAAGCACATATTTGCTTGTAGGGAAAATTGTTCAGATTAGGTTGTAAAAAAAAGTTAAAATTAACAATATGCTTTAAGTACATCTGCATTAAGTATATGATATACTTAAAATTTCAATGTTGTAAATGAAGAAAACAATTTCCAAACACTCCTAAGATTCAATTGATTATATAACCTGAACCAAATATGAATTTTGCAGCAAGGCAGAAATAATAAAATTCAGAAAAAAATTATAAACAGGTGAGGGGAATGATATGGAATAAGAAACCCAGAACTGAATTTTTGCCTAGATATATGACTAGTTTCCTAGCTGACTATTTAACAAACAAAAAGTACAAAAATCATTTAATTGGAAATTCTTTCTCTTCTACCTTCAACCCCTCTCACATTAATTCTTTATGGTAGCAAATTATAATGAGGCATAATTATGAGGGTTACAAAGCTACAAATTCTTTACATATCTGGATGTATAAATTCAGCACAGTTGCATTGCTGAAGTGATTATGGAAAGGGAGATCAATTCTCTGTTTAGGCTTTTTTTGAGGATTATGTCCGAGTGAGCGTCAACAAATTCCAGAGTGTCAGATAAAGTAAATATTGTTGTCACTGTGCTAGAGCAATCAGTCTATTCCACATTCTTCTTGTCACACCATCTCTAAAACTATCTACTATTCCACTAGGGTGGAATCCTGCTTATGCTTAGCATTGATTTTTTTTTTGGGGGGGGTCCGGTCGTGGGGCCTGAACTCTGGGCCTGGGTGCTGTCCCTCAGCTCTTCAGCTCAAGGCTAGCGCTCTACCACTTGAGCCACAGCACCACTTCTGGCGTTTTTATTTTTTTTGCTTATGTGGTGCTGAGGAATCGAACCCAGGGGCTCATGCATGCAAGGCAAGCATTCTACCACTGAGCCACCTTCCCAGCCCTAGCATTGATTTTTATGAGGCAACAGGTGGGGTTTTTAAGAGCCTTCAGATGACAGCATTGATAAGTAGCTTTGCTTTCAGGCTGCTCCAAGATACACTTTTCGATCTTTGCTACATCTTTGTTTACTATAAGGCGTTCTCTCTTCCTTGCTACTTGCAGATGCTTCAAACACTTATTTAGTTGCCTACTTGTGAATTCCTTTTTTCTGCTTTGTTGCCTAGTACGTATTGGGAAAACTAGGACCTAAGTCAGAAATCTGATTATTGAGAGACTAGGAAGAATAGCCTACATTAATCTTAGCCATACAGAAGGCATAGATCAAGGGGACTACAGATCAAGGCCAACTGGAGTAAAAAGACAGACTCCATCTTATTCTATGACTTTCATGGTGATTTATTCCTATGACTCCAGCTGGTAGGAGGATTGCAGTGTGGGCTAGCCCTGGGCAAAAGTGCAAGATCCTGTCTAAAATAGATAAATTAAAAATAACTAAAGCAAAAAAAAACAGGTGCTGAAGATGTGGCTCAAATGGCAAATATTAAATCCCAATTCTAGATCAGAAGAGGATAAGGAAATAAATGTTTGGAGATGAAGAATTAGGCAGTTTACACTGAAAACTCAGTGTTCTACAGCTAGAAGGATCACACAGACTACTTCCAAGCCCAGTAGTAAGATCTGGGTCCTGGTCAGTCCTGCTTTGGTCCATTTACCTCTGGGAATTTCTAACAACTCATTTTCTCATTTCAAAGAATTCACCCAAATAGCCATATTTTTAAAGCCGTGAATTACAAGGCAACAAATATTTAAAATTATTTAAACTTTAACCACTCCTCCTCACTTAGTTATTATAGCACTATGGAGAATATAGTCCAAGTTGTAAATCTTGGCCTTATGTTTTTAACCATTCTTAACTGTTCTAATTACTTTATATTTTGGTACATATGCAATTCTATGTTTCTTAAGAAAATGTGATTATAATAGTACTCTGAGAAGGATACAGGTTGACAGGCAGATAATGCTTCAGTGACTGCCAGAATATGATTACCTTGTCTGACATGGTTGCTCATTGCACTTTCGAATCTGTGGATCTGGCTTTGTTAAGTATTTGCACTTTTTGTTGTCCACAATGCTGATATTCTTGCTCATGACTTTTGTGCAGGATACTGTTGTCTTCCTCTCTCCTGAAAAGAGCAAATAAACATACAACAAAATGTTATCATAGGTCTTTATGAAATATAGTCATGAACTGTTCATGCTTAAAATAATAGGATATTTTACATAAATGTTAGTTTCTGCCAATTTTAGACCAATGAAGATGATATGATTAACTACTTACATAACAAAATGTATGGTTAGGGTTGAGGAATTTTTTTTCCTTACAAGCTGAGTATGAAATATTACAGTACAAAGTGATGATGATGATGTTAGATGACAAGATATTAATTGATTTGTTTCAGTGGCCATCTTTTAATATTAGTGATTAAAAGCTGTCCACGTGCATTAAACATACATAGTAAGCCTTCTTCAAAGCACAAAACAACCACTAAAATTCCAGGAATCTTTCCTTCTGAAATAATTGCCATTTTACCCCCAAAGAAACCATAAAACTTCTGGCATCTACTACCAGATATCAGAAAACTCAAGTTTTGTGTGTGTGCGTGTGTGTGTGTGTGTGTGTGTGTGCGTGCTGGAAGTAGGGTTTGAACTCAGGACTTCATTTGGCTTTTTTGTTCAAAGGTGGTGCTCTACCACTTGAGTGACACCTCTACTTTCACCTTTTATGTGGTTGACTAGTTATAAGAGTCTTATGGACTTTTCTACATAGGCTGGCCTTGAATTGTGATCCTCAGATCCTAGCCTCTTGAGTAGTTAGGACACCAGTCATGAGCCACCAAAAGGTACTTGGGTAGAAAACTCTCCAATAATAAAATCTAGTTTTAGGAGATAATGGCTATTTGTATACTACATTAATTTTGCTTAGTTCTATAAGCAAACTTTTGTTTGTTTTTTTATTTTTTAAACTTTATTGTAAAGGTGATGTACCGTGGGGTTAAAGTTACATAAGCTAGGTAATGAGGACATTTCCTTTTGAACAGCGTCACCACTCCCTCATTTTCTCCCAGTTTTTCCCTCCTGACTCCACTCCCCCGAAGTTGTATAATTAATATCCAATGTAGTGTCTAGTGAGTATCACTGCTGAATTGGTCCATCCTTTGACTGTACCTCACTGTTTCGGTGCCTCTGCTTCCCATCCCCAAATCAGATAGACTTATATACAAGACAAAGGGTACAGAAATGAAAATCAGCAACAAAAGGAGAAAAAAAAACCTGCAAACAATACAATAAAAACTTTTGTTTCCATTTCTTGGAGTTCATTTCGATAAGCATCATTTTATATGACCATATGCACATAGCTATTGAGCCCTTGTGATCCTCTCTCCTAAGAGTAGTCTCCTTTGTTCTTGCTTCGTGAATGTTTAGAGTGCTTTTTAATTAATGATGTCCAAGTGTAATTGTCTTTTACTACACATTGGGTTTACTTGTAGATTTTTAGGCACATTCTAATGATCACAAATGAGAGCAACCATGCAGCCTATGTCTCTTTGGATCTGGTTTATTTCATTTAGTAAAATTTTTTTCCAGGTCTTTCCATTTCCTTATGAATGGGACAATGTCATTCTTTCTGATGGAAGCATAGAATTCCATTGTGTATATATACTACAGTTTCTTGATTTCTTGATCATTTGTACATTTGGCATCTGGGTTGATTCCCTATCTTAGCTATGGTAAACAATGCTGCAATGAACATGATGGTTGTGCTGGTGGCTTTAGTGTGGCCTGGTTTGTGGACTTTCAGTAAATGCCGAGGAGTGGGATTGCTACGTTACAGGGAAGCTTTATGTTTAGTCTTTTGAGGAAACTCCATACTGCTTTCCAGAGTGGATGAGCAAGTTTACATTCCCACCACCAGTGTAGCAGTGTTCCCTTCTGGCCACATCCCTTCCAGCATCTGTTATTGTTAGTTACCTTGATAATGGCCATTCTAACTAGGATGAGATGGAATCTCAATATTGTTTTTATTTGCATTTCTTTTATTTCTTTTTTATGAACATCTCTTCATGTGTCTATTGGAAATTTTTATTTCTTCATTGGAGAAGTGTCTCTTTAAGTTTTTGGCCCACTTATTAACTGGGTTGTTGTATTTGTTTTTGTTTTGGGGAGGTTTAAGTTTTTGAGCTCTAAGTATGCTTTATATATGAGGCCCTTGTCTGTTGTATGGCTAGTAAAGATGTACTTCAATTCTGTGGGCTTTCTATTTATCTTTCTAGCCATGTCCTTTGCCATGCAGAAACTCTTCAGTTTGATGCAATCCTGTTTATCCAACCTTTCTTTGATTTTTTTTTTTGTGTGATTCTGGATGTTTAGTTAGGAAGGTTCAACTAGGAGTCCTAGTGATTCCCCTCTACCTTCCTGTAGTATTTTCAGAGTATCTGGTCTTACATTGAGGTCTTTGATACATTTGGAATTGATTCTAGTGTAGGGTGATATATAAGATCTAACTTCAGTTTTCTGCAGGTGTATAGGCAATTCTACCAGCACCATTTTTTGATGAGACTATCTTCCTTCCATCCTGTGTTTTTGGCTTCCTTAATAAATATTATGTTGCTATAGGTATGTGAGTTCATTTCTGGGTCTTCCATTCTATTCCACTGGTCCTCAGACCTATTCTTGTGCAAGTACCAAGCTGTTTTGATTACTATGGCTTTGAATAGAGTTTGAAGCTTGTTATTGATATTCCTCCAGCACTGTTCTTCCTGCTAAGGCTTGTTTCTGTTATTTGGGTTCTTCTATTATTTTTAGAATTGTGTAAGCATTTTCTTTGATAATACTAATATTAACATAAAAATTCTAGCAAATATGTGCTAATTTTCATTTCTGTACAATATATAAATAAATAAATATATTTCTTGTTAATAAAATATTGATATCTATAAAGATTTAATAATTTATCTTAGTTGATATTTTAAGATAACTAAATCCACCAACAATTTTAAAGTCAGAATTTCATGTATGGGGAGGAGCTGGGGGGGGAAGGAAAGTGGGAGAAAAATGAGGGAGGAGATAACAATGTTTGACAAGAAATGTCCTCATTACATTACATAACTATAACCTCTCTATACATCACATTTACAATTAAATTAAATTTAAAACATAAAATAAAGTGTAGTAAGCTTTTCAAAAAGTTTAAAAAAAAAAAGAAGTTCATGGAGGATTAAGTGGAAATCACAATTGTTGAGGGCCATTGTTGAAAGGTCTGTTATGAGGGACCTGTGCCTATCGTCCAGTCATAATTAGTAAGTTGAGAACATTCATGCTGGTCATGCCAAACATGAATGACTAGGCTGTGCCATAAAGGTCCCAGTTGCTCGATTAGCAGGGACAGGGAAGAATGTATACAGAGTGCAGACTACTTTGGTTTATTTTGAAGGAGTTTTTCTTTGCCTTCTATGAGGGATTGGAAAAGAAACTGGGTAACCAAGCAGGAAGTAAAAGAATAGGAATGCTTAGGGATCTTTTCCTGATGTCAATCCCAACAATGTGGAGTAAGTCCCGCCATGATCATTGCAGTCCATAGACATCTATATACATAAATGGATTAACTCACAATTATATCTGCCACCAATACAACTGTATTATTTAAATCATTTAGACTTTCAATTCTATCTTCTAATAGAAGTATTACTATGTTGGCCAGATGATTCCCTTTTGTAGCACTTTCAGCTTGCTGATAGAATATAGTAGAGGCCATGTGAGCTTATCAGGTAACGAAATGCCTGGCAGGTCACAGCCCTTTCTCTTGGGGGCAGGCATTGTGCCTCTTGTAGGATCCAGACATCCATTGAATGCTAGTAATAGCAAAGGCCTTGAAAAGTGCCTCCAACCATAAGTTTAAAAAAAGTTTAATACAGATGTACTAGGAAAAACTCACACATCTAGATAATTGAGAAAGAATAGCAATCTCTTTTCACACTGAAGCAGCTTTTCATTAGGGCTCGTGTTTGACAAATGGAGCTAGGCTAGATTGACCAATCCTAGTTCAAGGACTTTGTGCCCAACTGCTTATGGATATACCTTACAGGTCCACTCATCTGGTCTGGGCAGCATACAAAGCAAGAAGACCTGATTCTATCTTGGAGAGGAGAAGTAATCTTTTATGACTAGGCAAATATGTAGAGGGCAGGATAGACAATTCTGTACTAGGTCAGAGGTATAGAGGGAGCATTAGAAAAATCATCTCAAAGCTCCATATCCACCAACTGCAAATATTTTGTGTATTATCTACTAATAGCAAAGTCAATTTATGTTTAAAAAGCGTACAAAAAATGGTCCTCTTATGGTTGAAACTACATAATATAAAATTTGAGGTGAATGATATTTTTGGTAATTACCTTCTAGTTTCTTATGCTTCAGGGGCTCCTTTATGACCTTGTGCATATATTTAAAGGATAGCATGCAAATTTCATAAAATGATAACATATGTATTACTTCTACATGATTATGGTAAACACTAAAAAGGTGCAGTTAAAATAAATATTACTTTGTAAAATACAAATATGAGCTTCAAATTGCAATTTGAAGACAATTGTCTAAACTAATTTCACTGATGACATTTTGCCAGCTGTCACAAATGAGAGATGACAATGAGAAATAATCTGAAAAGCTTTTGCTGAATGTATGTACTCACAGAAGAAGTAGCTTATGCCCTTCATGACTAATTCTATTGTATATTTTTCCTGAGAAGAGCTAATATATTAAGCTATTGAAAAATCATTTCTGATTAACATCGTAAGGGAAATAGAGATGTCAGCATGATTTTAGGAAGCACTTAGTGGTGTTTTAAGAAATTATAAAGGCATGAGAGCATAAATTGGGTCAAATTCTTCTGTATCATACATAGGAAGATCACATGGATGCTTTTGGCAGGGGAAGTTTAGTCCTATTTTTTAAAGATTTAATCTATCAGAAATAATAGAAAAACATCAGGCAGCAATGGCTCATATCTGTAATCCTAGCTACTCATAAGGGTGAGAACCAGAAGATGTACATGTTTAACTATAGCCTAGGCAGAAAAGTCCATAAAAATAAAACTCCAAAATAATCAGAAAATAGCCAATCTAGA